TGATAATTGAAACAAAATTTCTGCTTGAATAGCAACGTTTGTCTTCGAGAGTTTATAATCGTCAGCGGGGGATATTTATTTTCTCGACGTCGGCTTGGTCGGATGCTGCTTAAATATTTACGCCTGAAATTAAAGTTATACTTGCTGATCCGCCCGATGCAGCTTCTTCTGCTTGCTCTCCGCGTTAACGCGCATCGACTAGCTCCAAACGGCCCCTTCGTTTAAATTCACGGTGAAGAGTCGCGAGTTCTCGAAACTAGCTCGCAGAAAACAGCTAAATGAACCGGAAGGTAAAAGAAATTACGATACCTTTGAATTCAAAGGATTTTCTATTCGTTCGACGCACGTTCGACGCTCGAATGGTTCCAATTATGAAGGAAGCGTGCGCTTTTTGGTTTTCTATTGAGGTTTTTCTCGCGGCACGAAAACATTTTTTCAAAAGAATTGGTAAATTCTGTCGTTCGCTTTTGTTACTTGTCGCTGTTTCACGGGGTTTTGTGAAAATTGACGGCAGGTATCAGTGGGTTTAAAACTGTTTCGGAGGGGCTCCGCTCGAGACAAGTTTTAGATTTAAAAGGCTACGAGGAATATATAATTTCAAGGTTGTTAAACTTCGACGATTAATATCGTTAAAAATAAATGCAATGGCGGGCTTGTAATCTTATAAGGTCGGGATATTTTTCTCGAAAACAAAGGTTTTTTTTTTATTATAAAGCGCGAATCCCAGCCTCGTCGCACACATGTACAGTTACGCGGATGATTATGAGATCAAAGTAACTGTTTAATTTGTAGGAAGAATACTTCTCTTTGCTTTACGGTTTGCTCTGTGCAATATAAATTCTCTAAAAGAAGGCAATGTCGTTGGCTTTTGAGGACAAAGGCACAGTAGCAGATGAATAGCGAAAAATGTTCATCTTTTCAATGTCTCTGTAGATCTTCTTCAGAAATAAATCCCAAAATTAATTCTTATCCAGTGCCTATTAATGCTATCTTTAATTTTAGGTCGCGTACAGTCAGCATCAACGCGTTAAAACTATTTTTTAATCCGTCTCAAATGAAAAGCTAATGAAGCATCCCCACGAAACTATAAATTACGTAGTTTCCTCGCTTGGTTTGAAATATTCTATATAGAATCATCAGAAACTTTGCACTCTGCTAGTGATCCTCGACATGTACAGAAAAGTTTGCTTCGACGCGGATCCGTGTACTAAAGTATGCATCTATTTATAATAGTTTACAAGTTGTAGAACAAAAATATTATCGCTTACGTTATGGATTATAAAATTATAAGATGAAGAATAAATATCGTCTTTGACGAGGGAAAGTATTTTAAAGGAAGTCTGAATGAAACTTTAAATGCTACACGTACGAAGAGCGTTGTTTCAGCCATCGAATGGAGCATCGAAATATTTTTGTTCGCTTTCGTGTAGTCCGTAACAACGTAACTACTGGCCAGGGACCGAGCAGACACAGTATTTTCGGGGTGTATTTATGGTTTGCCTCCGTTACACTTGACTTTTATCATCGACACCGTAGACAAGGATAGGATAGTTTCGAGAGATGTAGGCGGGCACTCGATTTATTGCTGTACAAGCTACGTAATATAAGACCACGAAAGATGCTAGGGGAAGTAAAGGAGGAAATCTTAGGGAAGTAAAGCGTGAGGTACCTTATTCGCCAAGAGTTTCTTCGTCAAATCAATTTTACCGTCGTTCCTGTCCGCCGATGAAACACGATTCGTTATTTAAAATTCAAATTGGTAGGTAATAAAAACACGGACAAGGCGAGGCACATCGATATTATTCTATTCAAATCGAAAATCACTTTGAATCGTTTAACATTTTGAATTATTCGAACGTTTTCTACAAGATTCCGAATAAAATTAACGAGAGTTTTTAAAGTGAATGAACAACGGTAAAGAAAATTAAGAAAAGCGATACTCGATATCTGTCGATGCGACGAGCGCCATTCTCGCGACGATTGAAAGATAAATGCCCAGAGGCACTCTTCCGCAGTAAATACGTAGGAATTCCGCCTACCGTGGGGAGGAAAGGAAAGAAGTTAGTTGAGGGTTCGCCGTTAGCAGAAGGTTTACAGGAACGTTTGATCGATCCAATCGTGGCGAACGTATACACTAAAATATTTCCGTTACAACATCCTACACAGAATACCCGCAATTTCGCGTGGCATTTTCTCGAGTGTTCGTGCATTAAAAATTAAACAAATACAAGAGAGATAGTAGGATCTCCAGGAAAGTAGAAAGTTTCGCTTCTTCGAGTAGTCGAGATCGCTAAACGCGAGAAACGGGAACGATATAGAAAATGCAAAGCACCGAAGTTTTGACAAGTGTATAAATATGTCAACGAACATGGATGGTATACAGCGGTGTGACTGAATGTAGTTTCTTTTCCTCCTTATTTCTCCAAAACTCTCTTTTACATGATTTATAACCATCTGACTCGTTCTTCAAAAACACCATCCTTTCTCTAGGGACAAGCACACTTTCATAATCCTTTTTTTAAAATTAAGACGAGAAAACTAGGATTACACGAAGCACCGAGGAAACGTTGATGAATGACGTTACGATAGAAGTATAATAAATACAGATCCACGGAAGTATAATTTATCTTAAACAATAGGCGTTACGTAAAATCGAGTCCAATTTAAAGATTCAGAATTGTAAAAAAAGAAACGTACGTTGGGCGGTTAATAATGCTATTAGGTTTGTATATCAAGGTGGATCTAAATTTCATTAATTTTAAAACATTCGCGCAATAGAAGTAGAAAGGAATCTGTAACCTGTTCATTAAGAAGTCCAAACAGAACAGTTAAATCAGTTACTATCCTACGATCAGGTTATATCGTCACATTAGGTACTCGGTGGAAGCTAGATAGATAAATGCAACCTCGTTGATTGCATTAGAACCTCGTTCGTTACATTGAGCTGACAGGTGGAGGTGGTTGGTTACTTAGCAACCAGTAAAGTTGGAAATGGAAAGAACAAGTAGTAATGACCCATAGATAGTGGAGATACGATGTGTTAGCGGAACTCCTTATTGGATTGGATTGGATACCTTGGTAATTGCATGGATCTCGATACATTCAAGAATTTTCAACCTCGCTTTCCAGTAATTGTCGAAGTTCTAATATACCTAATATTAGATCGAATTTACATTCATTCTGCAACTTGTACGCTGAATATTAAGAAATTTATTATTACCAACAGCGTTTCACACATTAAGTATATACGAGAAAAGATTATGTCTATAAAATCTACAGTTACTCCCACTCGTATTCCTACGCTATAAGGGCGATTCGTTGTAAATAAAAAAAACTTTGTTTCTGGTCTGTGTATTTCCATTTCTATTTTTTAATAGATTGAGACATTCGAAGGTTTGCGTTTGAATAAATTAATTCGACGATTCTCGTTTGATCACCGAAGTTAGTCAACGTTGATTTATTATTTCTTGCACGTTAATATTCGAAAAAAAGAAGGCTACTTTGTAAGTAGAAGGTACAGTGTAACAAACAACATTCACAGAGAGAACTTTCTTTTCATTTATAGTGAACTTCAACCTATGTATTCACCAGTATATTGTTCATGTTATTGCCTTACTAAAAATTCCCCAATTGATTGTAAATTTAGTGGTGTAATAAAAAAACAAATTTATACAAAAAAAAAGGGATCCGAATGGAGAATATTTACGAACCACGAGGGAGAAATTTATAAATGCCAAGGTTCCGAAGGTAGAATCCACCGACCATAGGCAACGTTCAATAAAATATAACGTAGGCGTGATGCGAGTTCCAAGATCATTAATTCAATTAACCTTCAACGATCGACTGCGTAACGCATCGTTGTTTAGAATTACGTAAAGGAAACGTCCGTTGCCGGAGAAATCCAACATTTATTCCGGGCAATTTAAGGAGCGACGTAGACACAATGTAGTTTGCAACTCGAGCTTCGTCCGGAGGGGATGTTTTATCTTGGCGAAAGAGTAAACAATTGAAATTTCGACGGGAAACACAGGGCCCCCGTTCCGACTGTCAAACTTGGAAATTCGAGAGTCGAATTTTGGTGAGCCGTGGTTGGTGTAGCCACGGGTGCATGAGACCCAGCATGTTTCTAGCAGGGAGCATGTCGCGTGGTACATATTTACTGTGTATCTTCAAGCCTCGATGACGCTTGGGATTGAAATGTCAAGTCCCCTGTGTCGACCTGTAACGTGCGTTTGCGCGTTACGAATGCATGGCCTTGTAATTAGCATGTCAATATTTCACACATTGCACGTGATCACGCACGAATTCTTTTAATCGTAACCTACTTATTTACTACCACGTTCGCGTACAGTTTCGCGGTTTCCTTTGCACGTTGTCGTTATTATCAGGAGGCAAAGAATCGAATCCTTCGTTTTACGCACGATTCTTTCCATAATTCATAACCTGCGGTAGCTCTACGAATTATTTCAGAGACGCATGATAGCTATTTAGGCACGAAGTTTCCTATTGTTGTCGATACTTTGAATCTTCGAACGAATCTCAGCGCGGATACAATTAAACTAATTCATTATTTTTTGTGTAATTCTTGCAATCACCGACAGAGGACGTTCTCTCGATACCTATTCCCACGAGTGTTCGTACATCGATTTCTACGCGTGCATCCTTTGTCTTAATATCAGGTAATCCTCGGTGTAAGCACAGGTTGTTACATTAGTCTGTTCAGTGGACGCAGGATGAAACGCAATCCCCTCGCTCGTTTTTTCTTCCTTTCATCCCCTAAACCACCCTATCCTAATCCTGATCCTTCCCCTACCGTTTCGATTATTTTCCTCGTCGTCCTAATGAAATCCATATCTACTCGAGAGCTTACGGTGACCCTCGAATTACACTTCTACAAAAAAAAATATTTGAACTTTTGATTTTTCAGATAATACTTATATACTTATTTAAGATATCTGAAATATTTCGCGCAAAGATTCGTTGGTGGTTTCGAAGGTAGTATCAGCCTACAGCCATTCTCTGGTCAGCTCTTTGATCGTATGTACTCGACCTCCCCCGGAACAGAGATGTCAATGTACTTCTTCCGACTGCACAACCTACGCCGTCAGGCGGAGGAGGTACGGAAAAAGCGTCAAAAAGGAAGAACGAACCAGAGCGGCCAACGCGGGACCAATTGCACGGACCAATCACAACCGACAGCCGGATCAATGCATTGCTGCAACAAGGTCCATCGGGGCCAAAGCAGGCTCTTTGAGCGCGCTCTTTTGCAGCCTAGTGATTCGCTCGACGAAATCGCCTTTCAAATACCCAGGTAACGTTAACCGCATCGCACGATATATCTTCTTACACTGTAATTCGCCACTGTTCCTCGATTTAAGGCCGTTTTGCAGTTTCGCGTATATAGCGTACGACGAGTTTCGTAACGTTTGGTTTCGTCGACGAATTATCGGGGCTCCGTGTCCTTGCAACGTTTCGAGAACCGTTGAGAAACTTTCTGAAAAAATAACGATGCACGTGCGTACACGGCGAGCGCGTAAAAATGTTTGAGAAAAGATATTTTTCTGTGAGATATTTTCCGTAGTTGCTATCATCGATTTGAGAACACGCGCGCGCTGTTTACGTACGGCGGTTGTCTGAAAATCTTGACGCTCTTCTCGCAGTTTATGGTCGAAGTTTATTGGGTTCGTGCAACGATACGTAGCTGTCGGATGTTACTATATCATTCGATCGTTATTATATTTTCTTACTATCGGTGTCACCTCATGTGTGCGCGTTTCTTTTCGACGAAAGCGACCGGGACAAATTCTTTCGTTTGGAATAATAATTCACAGGTACTGAGAAGAACTCGTAAATTATGTTTGAATGATGTCATTGCATACACATGCCTCGTTACGGTATATTTATTGCATTTTCTCGCTGCTTTGCAATTTTTCTTTTTGAAATTCACGATGTAGAAATACTATTGATGTAAGAACGTACGTGTACACGACCGATCGCGTGTCTGGATTCCATAGAAGGCTGTTCCATTACGTCCGTGAATATATTAACTACTGCGTTTCGTGTAGATGGGTAGGTTCCCGGGACCTTAATCACACGTTAACTGCTAATCCTTTATTATGCGCTGTTCTTTAACATATAATCTCAGCTTTGAATAATCCCATACCGTTTTATAATTTAATATTGCAAACAAGGATCCCGAGATATTAGCACTTGAAGCTCCCTCCGTTAATGTCGGCTCTTCCAAGATAATATTATCGCCACTACAAAAACGCCTTTCATCCGCTAATCTCTTTTTAAATTAAACAAAAAAACTTACTTACATTCGAGTCGTGGAGAATGAAAACGGAAAAAATTAAAAGGGCCAGATCTCTGTCGCCTCTAATGAGGACCCTGACGCGAACTTTTTAATGAAATTTATCGCAAGTGAACTGCGAGATTGAGCTCCGGGCGTCGTGCACACTGGGGCGAATATTCTAACTGTTTACACGAGAACATCCTAATGCCATTTATCAAGTACACTTAAGCGGACCATAGCTCTCGGGACAGGCTGTTGTGTTCCTCTTCATTCGTCAGATCTTGTCGCCTAATGGAAGCGTCATCTCTTCCCCATAAATTACCCGGCGACGCTTTTCTCCCTCGAAGCGACGAAACCGCCTTGGAAAGTAAGTAGTCGACGTCGCGACGCGGATGCAATTTTCGGGCTTGCATTTTTACGGACGGATCCAGGCCAGTTACGGTTCAGATTTTATCCCCTGTCTCGACGTTCGAGATGAAAAGTTCAGAACGAGACGGTGACCGCGTTGGATGGACCCGAGAGCACGTTGAAGGGTCACGGGTCAAGATGAAATAACTTGAAACGTCGAAATTCTCTTCTACTCGCGGAACAACTTCGTGGAACGAACCGTAGGTTTCGTTAATCCTCGAATAGACGCGTGTTGGGAGCTTTGTCCGTCTGTTTTTAATTTGTAACGCTTGATTTAAAAAATTTTTAATGGAAAGTAGTGATATAAAATTAATCCCATTCGAAAAAATGATCCTTTGTTTGATATACGAGGCGTGTGACCTAGTAAACTTATGAGAACCTCTGTTGTTCTCGTTGGATCCAAGTGAATTCTTTCATTATTAATTTCTACTCTATTGTCGTTTCTCTGTAAAACAACCTTAAAATCCTTGGCTTTATCGTAGGACCCTTTCTGGCATTTTGAGACACATTAATTCTGCCCAAGCTTAACTTTAATCCTCGATGCTTATATTCGTTATCTCGTTCTACACCTCGGCAAAAGTTTCGTTTTGCTTCGACACTGATCGTCTCGATACAATAGAGCAATCGATACAATAATCGAAACTAATGTCAACACGGTAACTGGTTCATCGAACACGTTGTCGAGCTTCTGTTGCGTATACGAATCGATAAATAGTACCAGAAGAGATAATCTAGACTCTAATTATCCGAATCGTGATATCAAGAACGTGAAAGATTTTCGGATTCTAATAAAAATTTGGAATATGGAGAAACATTGGAGATATCGTTGACGAAGAGGTTGAGCAAAACTGGACTTAAACTAGATCCTCGCGCTACATCAGATAGAAGAGATACAGGTTTGGATAAATGGCTGATTAGATTTGACAACGAGTGACCTATTACAAAGATAATTGGAAGCCAGACTACGATCCTGCAGAACCCAGGGCATTTAACTTTCTAATCTGAAGTTTATGATTGATGGTATCAAAAGGTTTATGGAAGTTTGTGAACGTCGTATCTAGAATATTTGGCGGGCATTGTCCATTTCTTGTGACAAATGGTTTTCGGTATAGCGATAGATTCGTTGCAGCGCGATACCGTTTGAAGGGTTAAAATTGCTTCTTCCAAATGTTTCGCGTTCTAGCTTTTACCGAGATTTGGTATCACAGTGTTGGTCGATGGGTCAGGAATATCATAACGTTTCGATCCGCGCCTCTCAGCACCCGTGGGATGCTTAGTTCCGACATCCAGCTTTACTCGTTCAGTTAAATTGCGTTAACTCCGTAAAAGTTGAAAGTATTCTCGCAGGATTAATCGCGCCTGCGTGCCTTCGGAAAGTAAAAAGAATTGTTCTAATTAAAGGACCTCCCGCGAATGTGAGAAAAAGACAGGCGGGTTTCTTCGTAATACAGCGAACACGAGCGAATGGACGACTATGAAAGATATATGATTTTAAAGATAACGAACTATTGGCGATCGAAGTAAAATGGATGTTCGAATTTTGAAATTAGGACCTACAACGAATAATATTTTAATAAGACGTTGACGTATTACGTGATTCATACGAATATTCAGGCTGCAATATTTTTCGAGACTCTCGTTTGCATAAGCTTTTCTCAAAATCGTTAACTAGAATTAGAAAATAATATTAATAATGAAAGAAGCAAATATACCTGTGTCGTCTACGATGTTTGGAGAACGTTTCTCGCTAACCTCCTCTGTAATAACGAAAATGCTTCCTAATAAAGGTCGTAAAAACGAAACGGGTAGAGAATAATGATCGGTGACGTTCCTATGTAAACTAATCGTCCACGCGCTCCTTTAGTAAATCCCCTTTGTGTTTCACGTAAAATTGATGTCGTTTCATAAGAACGCAGTGAATCCCATTAATCGTTGACGTTAGAAAAGTTTTAACAAATATATTGATATGCATATTTATGCTACATATAAATGTAATTTTATTTTGAGACAATACGAGGAATAATTCATGATAATCTCACGTTTATTATTATTCACGAAATAATTCATTTTAAAATCGTCGGTTATTCCATGTCCCGTATTTATATTATGAATATTTATTATCGTAATTGGAACGAAATCTATTTTCTCGGTATTTGTGGTTAAAATTTCATTCTAATAAACAGCTTCTTATTAGATAGTTTTAGATACTTTAAAGTTGTACGAGAGTGGACTTACGAGATTTATAGTAATGCTAATGAAATAAATTTGCTGTTTGATTTGTACTAAAACGAATAATAGTTTCGTAATTTTGTAAAATACTATTTTGAATGGATACCTGGTTTTACCATTTAAATAGAATCTCATTTTCTTACTTTGCAAATTTTCTAGTAAGATTGAACAAAATATGATTAAACTCATTTCACTAGACATTATAACCATTCTGTCTATATTAAAGATGTTTTCACTTTCCAAAGAACTAAGGAATTTTTAGGTGTTCTTGACGCTTCCATCTACATCTACGAAATTACAATATCTCCCTTCGAATACTTCGAAATTCATATGTTTCTATCCCTTCAATCTATTTTCAAAGGTAAATCCCTTCCAATATTCGAATGGATCATTCCGTATGCAACCTTCTTTACATTCGGTGGAAAAAAAACAATTTTCACTTCACAAAATTATGCACGAACAAAGTTTCTGCGTCGTAGAATATACAGGATGTTCTGCCAACCCTGGGAAAAATTTTAATGGAAGATACTAGAGGCCAAAATAAGACGAAAATCAAGAATATCAATTTGTTGATTTAGGCTTCGTTAAAAAGTTATTAAAAAATTAAATTAAAAGATTTCAAATCATTCACGGAAAAATTACTTTCGGTTGCAGGGGTCAATTACAATCATTTTTGGTCAATATACATACCCTCTAAATCCTAACCATTTTCGAGAAAAAGATTCATTATTGAAAATATAATGTCTGACCATAACTGTCTGGTTGCCTTGAAAAAAAATTTCAAATCGTTCTGAAAAAATTATTCTTAGTTGCAGGGGTCAATTACAATCATTTTTGGTCAATATACATACCCTCGAAATCCTGACCATTTTCGAGTAAAAAAATTCCTTACCGAAAATATACTGTGTGGCCAGAAATGTTTCTATAACTTTTTAACGAAGCCTCGATCAACAAATTGGTATCCTTCTAACACCCTGTATATGAACGTTTGCCTAGTATCTTGTTCCAAAATTGAAAGTGTATTATTGAAAATGTGATCTGTTCGAGCGCGTAAAACAATTGAAAAGAATGAAAAACGAATAATGCGTTTTCCATAACGACGGTACGAGAACAGTCCTCTGTTTCTATAAGAAATTATGCTGTCGTTTCGTTCGCGTTTAACGCATAAGATTGTTGAAAATAACACCAGATGCACGCGCGATTCAGAAATCGAGGCACCCGTTCGAAGTTTTCTGGTCGTATACATCCACCCACACAGAAGACGATCCCCTATTTCGGTGATCAGTTTTCACACCCTCGCGATAGATCGTCGTTTCACCCTTAGAGCCTCTATAATGAACCAGTCATCAGAAATATGGCTGACAGATAATATTTCTATG